TTAAGCTGCTTGTTGCTAAAGCCGATTATTTATTAAAGAGAAAATCGTTAACTTTATGCCTTATTCGCCATTTTGATATTTATAATATTATGAGATAAGATAATTTGAGTTTATAGATATTAAACGAGAGGACATTCATGAATTTCTTCTAAATTCAGTTGGAAATGAGTGCATTGTGAGATAATTTTTTTGTGGTATATAAGAAAGAAAATCTTTTGAATATTTATAAAATTATGTTAGATGAAGTCGAAGTCATTTAAAGAAGTATTCTACTATTGAAAAACATTATCTATTTTACCTATAATAAGTATAAGTGTTATAAATTAAAAATATTAATTGAAGACGAACTTTTTGGTTTTAATTAGACTTATAAATTAAGAACCTTCAAGAGAATAAATTGGTCGAAACCACATAATTTTAGGTATCTATACAATACGTTACATACATTACTGAGCCCGCTCTCAGCTGTTTATGTTGAAAAATTTTATTTTCCGGGAGCTCTATCTAACGAGATTTGAACCATACGTATTTTAGATTTCTTTTTCTTTTAGGATTCCCAAATTATTTATCTATAAATGTTCAGTGTTTTATATAATCTAAAGAATATAAATAATGTCTTCATACAAATGCTTCACCAAAAACAAACTCATAAACTTTGTTATTCATGTGTAGGTTTTTTTATGCAACTTAGAATGGCAAACAAGTTGACGGCCTACCTGATGGAATAGTAATCGTGGTAATCGTGGCCTATAGACATAAGCAGTACCATGGACATAATAGAGTATACTGTTTCGCCCATAGTACCCCCATTCCTGAGGACTCAGGTGTTATTCCTCTGTGCCCTGTAAATTCACTGCCATATCCCAACCTTTAAACCGAAACACAGTTATACAAACACAACTGCTTTACGGGTGAAACACGAATGGGACATAGGTGCCCAAGGAAACGACTTTTACACAAAGTCTACAAAAGTCTCCCTGTGGTCAAACAAGTGTCAGTGATTATTTCAATAAAGGTTACCATTTTCAACCGACTAAAGGAAATAGGGTCTTAATTCCATTGTTTTTATCTATCTTTGTTAGCTCATAACTCTGTCAGTTCTAAATCGAAGTAGGAAATTTTTAGATAGATTTTTTAGATAAAATCTAAAAATATATACTTATAGTATATATTTTATATAAAAATATATACTTATAGTATATATATCTGAATATACTTACAGATCGATCCCATAGAAATACTATCAAAATCGGTTACGTAGTTTAGTTTTGAAATGAAAATAACCGGTTTTGCTACAGTTGAAGATGTCTTTTTTTGGGAATACAAACTTTAATTAATAATAATAAATCATTAATTCATTGCTAAAACGTCTCATTAAAAGAATAATGTGCATTCTTTTAAGGAGGTATTTTAATAGTGAAATTGAATATGTTGGAAAAACATGTATTGAAAAACGATAAAAAATATACGTTTTTCATGCTAACACTAGATGCCCAATGAAAGGATTAAAACTTTTTATAATTTTTTGAGATATTGGTACTTAGTTGTTCGACTTTTTGGGAGAAAAGAACACTGGTAAAACATTTTCTTAAAACTATGCTTATATTATTTTTTAATTAATTAATTCATTCATTCAAGTAGTCTGGTGTTGTAAGCGTTTATAAAGTAGCGGTTTGCCATAAGGCGTGTCGTATGCGTTTAAATAAAAGTAATATAAAGTACAACATTTGATTGCATGACCGTTCCTCTTAATGTACGAATTATGTGGTACTTAATTTTTTTGCAATAAAAAGTGATGGTATCGAATGAAGGCGTATTAGAACCGTGAATTATTTCAAATTACTTTAATTATTGACTACTAATAAAGTTGGCTTGAAAACTATAAAATATAAGCTTCGCATGTAACAAACTTATGAAATTATTGGAGAGTGGATGGAAATTACGGAAATGTCTTGGTACTTATTAAATTATTACTTAAAGTAATAGGAAAACCCGATTATAAATTTAATATTCATGTAATATTTAAGTGTATAAGGATGAAGTAAAATTTTGTGTCAATAATAATTTATTTGTAATTTTATGAATTTAATACTTTTACTTAGTTGCACCGACAAGAGGAAACTCTTAAATGAAAGGAAAAAAAATGTGTTTCGGTTTTATCTGTGTTGTTTGTTGCACTAATATAGCAATAAAAGAATCTGTATCTAAATCGAAAGAAACATCCACACATTTTTGCAAATTTCCATAATTATAATAGTAGATGAAAAAACAAACGGTAGTAGAAGGATTGTATTAGGTGACCTGAACTATTGTGCTCGCGTGCATTTAAACTTAGTAAACAAAGTAGTCGTATTTTAACAACCTATCAAGTTAATTGAACTAAAGAACTAACACATGCAAATTCTATACGCCGTTTTTCAACGTACCTTAAAAAGAAAAGTAAATAGAAAAAAAAAGTATTATAATAAAAACGTAACGCAATTTTCTACTTTCAAAGTTTTAAAGTCACTTTTATAAAATACTGTGTAAATTTTCTTTAATATGATTACCAATTCTTTAAATTATGTTAATAAAATAAATAAATTTTAATACTTGTCTTGCAGGATTTGTATTTTAATAGACATTTTCATTTCTTTTTTCAACAAGGACTTGTTTTAAAATTATGTTTTACAATCATGCTACTATTATAGTTTCGAACGTATGTGAGGATGTCTAGATTGATGTTTATTACTCTTTAATGCAAAAACTACTAAACGGATTTGAATGTAATTTGGTACATGCATAGGTTATAATTATCATAATTTAATATAATTATTATATACTGATTCGTGTGGGAAAAACCGCGTAATATAGCTAGTAATATATAAAAAAGTGATATAATAGTGAGCTTACAAAGTACAGTTTTATTTAACAAATATAAGTTTTAATTTTAAAGTTAATATAAATGTACCTATTTATATTAAAAGAGATTTAGCAAAAAATATATTTAGTGTAAATTAAATGAACCCATACTGATAGATTTTATTTTGTCCGCACTTTAATAAAATAAACGGGAATGTATTCGATAGGTAGATAACTTGTAAATGTCTTTAGAAGACGAAGATTTTTCTAATTAAGTTTATACAAGTTATTTTTAAGTTAAATAAAAAGTAACCATTTGACATAAATATTCTTAATTAACTTCTGAAGATTCTTAGATCTTTTCTAATTTAGAAAAATACTTTTCAATCGACTTCAAAGAGAAGGAGGTTCTCATTTCGGTTTTAATTTTTCGTCAACTTTGTTACGTTATAAATCCGTTAGTTATAAAGGGATTAGGATTTTTTTCTTTGAAAGAATATAGGTACTTACAGGCTGTTCAATTAAAACCAATTAAATTGGTTTTGGTGCAATTGAAGTAAGTTTTTTTTGTGATATACAATCTTAAATTATGATAAGTAAAAGATTATTATATATATATATATATATATATATATACACAATTATTTTACACACAATCACAGGACAGGTAGGTAAGAAAAGACAAAAATAAAAGCAACATTAAAAGACATGTAGTAAGATTTACGAGTAGTTAGGTTCTTGAAGATGCATCATTATGCATCTTCAAAAACTGCATAATGTTACTTTTCTCTTGCCGTAAGTTAATCAATGATATTATTTCGTTTGTTACCACACAATTACACGACAAGAGGGTTAATGTTTGTTGCGTGTGTACCTGTGTTAGTGTTACAAGGCCAATGGAAGGACATTGGCCCTTATTGCTTACGATTATATAAATTAACTGGCGACAATTCGCGGTCTCGTCCACATTTTTTACTTTTATATTTAAATCTATAATTTCAATTTGATTAATATCAGCATAATTATTTTTAACATCGGTTTGAATTAATTTTCTAATAGCTGGCATTAGTCCGTAAATTCGAAATATTTAAATGGTTTTAAAGCAATCGTTTAGACCAATTTAAGAGCGAATCGAGATAAAAAAAAATTATCTTCAAGAATAAAATTGTGAAAATCACATCTAATTTGGTGTAGTAATGTTGAGGTTATTTATTTTAACATGCAAACAGACAGTTACGGATCAATTCATAAAATGGAATAATTTTGTTTTAATACAAATTGCTACACTGGTGAATCATATTCTAAATTACCCTCGTAATTTGGAATATGGTTCATCAATAAATTACTTACACTCTAATCCCCTTGTTCATAATAACTACTACAAACCTATTACACTCTTTTGTCCCTTTCATTCAAACTGAGAATCTAGGACAAAAGAAAGAGACGAAACAGTTCTGTAACTAAAATATATTTATTAGAAGTTTGACCTTTTTATGACTAAGTGGCTTAATTTTTGGTCTGACAAAGAATGCAGATTATCATTATATCATCATTTCAGGCAATAACTATCTACTGCTGAATAAAACCTTTCCCTATAAGGGAAGTTTTGCCAATAGTTGCCACACTTGGCAGATAAGTTGGCAACCGCAGTTAGACGTAACATTCAATTGACCCACATTTCGCCGAGTATATTTTTTTAATGGGTGAAAATAAAATGGTCATTCCGTCTGCACTATCGGTATACTCTGGCACGGCACCTATGAGAGATGATATGTGAGAATCAATGCAGATTGGTCGGTTCCTAATGGATGATATTGGAATGGCAACCCCGCATAAGCTATCGGCGGGGCACCAATGAAAGACGACAGGTGAGGATGAAAGCAGGTTGGTTAGCTCATCCTGTCGAATTCAACTAGAATTAACCATGACGGTTCCCAGGGAAAATCACGTGGAAGTTGACCTGATAAGACTGTTAGCAATAGGGCTGTTAGACTTCATACTAACAATCCCTTTTTCCCCCGCCGAGCATATTAACATCCAGTATTTAATAGGCAAGTTAGTATAACAGTTAAAACAACTAATAGAATTTGAATAATTAATACATAAAATGTGTTAATAATTACTTCTTACGTGCGAATATTATTATAAAAATTACTTACAAGTCTCAGTACACGCGAGAGAAGTGTTCGAGCGTAGCTGTGAACAAAAAAATAAACTGTGTAAAAATGTGTTAATCCAATAAGGGAAATGTGAGTTCGTTATTAATATATAGTGAAATATGCTGTTCTTTACAGGTATCCATTACCAGGAAACAAGTCTGCTATACGAGACAGTGTTTAATGGATGCACTTAAGGGACTTTTCTGTTTTGTGGCTTGTGTAAATTAAAATGCTCATATTCTTCGGACTACATTCATATAATAATGTGTATATCATACGTTCATCTAGTTAAAACATCAATATAGCTGGCTTTTTTATGCAGCAAAAAAGTGCTTGTCACAAGCCAGCTAGATCTAAATCAATCAAGACATATAATAAAATCGTAACTGGTTGCTATCTGTACATGGAAGATATATAAAAAAAACTATTATATGGGCTTTATGGATGCAATAGAACCCAAAACAATGATTTTTAGAATTTTTCTCTGTTCGTCTGTACATTCGTGCACGATAATCTCGGAAACGGCTTAGTCGATTTAAATGCGGTTTTCACTAATGCGTTGCAGTTTGCTCCATTTAACATTTAGTGTTTATGTTATTTCAATTTCACACATTTCACAAATAAAAAAGTTATATTAATCTAAGAATCACATATAAAATGCTATAAATTAACCAATCAGATGAATTGGTTGAAATTTTATGAAGATAGGTTTATATTATATTTTAACTCATAGGATTTTTTATACTTATATCGATTTAAGCGGGCAGTGCTGCGGGAAACAGTGTATACATATAAATCTAATTATGCATACGTAGAAAAAGAATGTACAGATACTATCATTAATCTATGTACAGATATACAATTTTGAGTTCTAAATTTAAACATATATTTTTGTTTAAATATAATGCGAATGCGATACATGCTCTTTATCTATATGTTTCTATATATGTTTAATTATTATTTAAACACATATCGGTTGGGGGCCTGGTGATCTGTATTACAGGTCTTAACCTATTACAGACACCAGCTCCTCACAGCAGAGTTCCATATTATTTTAATTTTATTTTATCCTAAATACCTATGTGTAAATTTAAGTTGTTTGTGAGGAGACATAAATAAATATATTATTATACACGAAGTCGCTGTATATTTTTGCAGAGCAAAATGAACTTTAATACAAGTATTTAGCTTTAATAGTTCATTATAAAAGAAATTCTTTTCTAATTAGAGTTTACATGCATCTCAATGTAGGTTAAACGTAAAATAATGTAAGATTTGGTTCTAGGAAAAAAAAAAACACTGATTTCAATTGTAGCAAAACCAGTAATTTTGATTTAAAAACTAAACTACTCAATCGATTTTGATAAAGTTTCTATGGAATCAATCTGAAAGTATATCCTTTCAGATTAAAAAAAAAATATTCCAAATCGGTTTACAACTGACAGAGTTCTGAGGTAACAAACATAAAAAATACAACCGAATTGGGAAGCTTCTCTTTTTTTGAAGTCGGTTATGTATTTATTTCCTCGCATAGTAACTATAAAGAGATACCGTTTTTGTTTTACTCGTATAAACAATTTTCTTAGTTAAGTGTACCTATGAATATTTTATGTGTTCCGACCGATCCTTAAGTAGCACAATTTATATTATACTGACATTTCCTGTGTTTTATAGACTTTCAAAATGTCTCTGTTGTTTTGTCTCCTTATAAATCTCCTTATATAGTCGTGTATCAGTTATCAAAACGCCGTAAAGAGGAAGGGGGAAGGGATATATTTATTTATTTATTCATTAGTACATGTATGTGCACATGGCGGACGTAATGCTAAAAGCATTCGCTCCCAGTCAAACTTTAGGGAAGTGTCACAATACTCGAATGCGGTACTAGTAATAATTAATTGAATTGTTAGTAATGGTGACTATTGCTAGCGATATCAAATATATTCAGGACTTTTTTTAATGGAAAACAATGGAATGGCAACTCCATCTTTTTTTTTTAACAAGGAGGCATTTCTCCTTCATGCAGATCTACATACCTTGGGGGAGATATGTGGGTACTGCCGGACTTCTACCGGCTAAAACCCCCCAGTGTCATCTGTTCTGTCATGTCATCTGTCAGTGCTGCGGGACTCCTTCCGTACGCCGCCGCGGATGGCAACCCCACCTGCGCTAACGGTATACGCTTGTGTGGCAACAGTGACGGATGATAGGTGAGAATAAAAAGGCAAGTCAGTCAGCTCACCGTGATATATACATCTGGAATTTAGCATGATGGTTTCCAGGGGGGACCACGTGGAGGTCGACCTGACAGGATTTATTGCTAGCAATGGAATTGGTAGTCCGCATTACTAACAATCCCTTTCCCTCCCGATACATTTTGGTCAGGTTCACCTCCCCGCGGTACCGGAAATCATCGTGCTGAATTCTCGTTGATTCATCACGATTGGCTAATTGACCTGCCTTTCGGTTCTCACCTATTATCCCTCACTAGTGGCCAGTCAGTGTATACTGTTAGTGCAGGCGGGGTTACCATTCTATTATCATTTGTTAAAGAAAGTCTTAAAAATAAAAATACAAAGCTCTCTATATTATCAGCATTTTCTATGCAACTTAGTAAAAAAGCCAACGACTTACTGATGGAAAGCACAAAATAGAATGTGATCCGACATTCTTTTCACATGTCTGAATCAACGTAACATATGTTTTTTCACTTTGACAATTTATATTAACAGAAATAAATTTATTATTTTTAAATAATATATTTTATAATTATATGTTTAATCTAATTGAAATGACTCGTCTTTTTTTATTATAATACAACGTATGTACGAGTAGTAGACAACCTTAGAAAACTAATTTGTTAAAAATACACAAAAAATTTAAAAGAAACCATTAAGATATTAAAAGAACAGATTTAATTTGATTACAAGCCTATACCTATTCGACTTTTTTATCGTACCAAAATTAAAACTTTATGGTAAGATGTTTCGCGAATATTTTAAGAGCGGATCCACAATATAATACAAGTTTGGGTTCGCATTCTTGCTTCGATTTGGTATAATATGAATCATCATCATCGTATCAGTTTTCCATTGATCAGGAAAAACAGGACAGGAAAAAATAGTACGTTTTTGCTCTATTATTGTTCCTAATATGATAAATAATAAAGAGACTGTTTGTTTTGTTTCTTACCTTAGCGTCACTGTATTTTGTATATATATGGTGTTTGAGATTGAGGAGATTATTTATTCTCTATTTTATATTTTTGTGTATAAATAAAATACAGCTGAAGCTAGAAATACATAAATAGTCATTAAATTTAATATTTACGAGTATAATAAATTGTTTTTCAAGATTTTTATTTCAATTTATTTTATTAGAAAAAAAAAAGACAAGAGTAAGTATATTAAGCATTTTGATCATTAGTTTAGCACGCTCATTGTAGATCCACAGTCAGGGTTACCAGATGTAATTTTCATTTCTACCTAAAAATCAAATATTGTTTCTCTAAATAATATTTGATTTCTCTGGTGTTACCATGTCAGTATTAAGTGCTGGATTGTAACAAACTATATGTAACACTGTTGATGTACCAATAAATAAATAATATACACGTTTTTTTTCATTTTTTCCAACCATAAAATTGTGTTGGTTTTCATTGCTAGTTATTTTGTTTACTTTGTAAACAACGTAAACGACAAAAAAATATTGTAGATCCACGTGAATCCATATTTGGTTTACAAATATTAAACCTATCAAAAAATTACTTAAATTTCTTCACACTCATCTAATATTTTTACAAAAATTTCACAGACGAATTCATTTATCCAAAACTTTGCAAAAATGAAAATTTATGTCCAAAATCACAAAAAAATAAATAAATACTCAATCTAACAACGCTGCCCACATACACCTTCAATTACGGGGTGAAAGTTTTTCTTATAATAAGGATGACTGTTTATATTAGCAGGTATCGATTTGCTATAATAATGTTCCGTTAACGAACTGTCAATGATTCTACGAATTATTGGGATGTAGATTGATATTCGTTATTCTCTTAGTTATTTCATTGTTTAATGAATTTTAGTCATTTCACCTAATACAAAAATTAAGTCCGAGCCAGAACAATTTATTTTAATAGGATGAAACTAGAATTGTGTCCTTGCCTGGGTTATCGGTATATACTGGCACGGCACCAACGAGGGACCGATAGATGACAATGAAGTCAGATCCGTCTGCGTCAACGTGATTAATTTACCAGAATTTATAAACTATGATAGTTTCCTGGCGGGGCAGAGATCAACCTAACAATGTGTATAGAGTATGTACTGAGCTAGCAATTCAACCATTAATCTCTATTATTAACAGCCCCCCCCCCTCTCAGTAACAATTCATTATGGACTCACTACTGTTAATGGTGTGCTATTGTACAGTATGTTAATTATGTAATCCATTCTTTAAAATTGATGATTTTTCTAGAAAAACAAAAATCTTTTTTGAGACACTATTTACTTATAATAATAATAGTTTTAAGGAATGGGTTTTATTTATTTAAACTTTAATGCGCAATGAAACTATGTACATTTGGCGGACTCAACACCGGACGTTGATCTCTACCAGTCAATCATTGGGCAAACCGAGAAATAAGTAGACGGTGCATTATTGAATAGAGGAAAAAGAAGACAATACTTGATATATTCATATAACATAAACATATAATTAGACTAATATAAACATACACATAATATAATAAATAAATACATACATAAATAAATGCATGAATATAGAATAGGTACTATAAAAAACAACTGCATTAGAAGAGCAAATGAAACTATCTGTGGCTCAAACGAAGTAACCAGCAAGATTAAGCTTAAAGGGAAAGTAAGTAAAAAATAAAATAAAAGGGAATCAAGTTTTGTTGGTTTTGGGTTTTGTTGATTAACAACTGTATATATGTATATGCACGTACATCATGGCCAAGTAGCTTAGTATAGCGTTTCGTTATAAGTTTTCGTTCTCTTGCATTAATATCCACTA